TGCACATACGTTAACCTTTACTCCAGCTATCTCTGAGAGAATAAGCCGCCTTCATGATATTTCATCTGAGAAACCTCCCCGGCGTTTCTTTCGTCGACGCGCGACCGATTGCAAACTGTAAGACAGCAATGTGTTTTGGACACGGTTTTCGGTCGTTTCACAAGGGACCGTTCGACATTGGATGAATATATGCAGGCAAAGCATGGATGCATGCATCCTTGTTAATTTCTTTTAAATCCGTTTGGTTGAGTACCAGATTTGTGTCCAACCACTGAAAAGGACGTGTCTCTACAGGGCTTATGCGGTCTCATCGCGAAGCAATTAGATCTCAGTTGTCCTCGATCTGCTCACACTCACCTGTCCAGTGGTTTGATGAAGTGTGAATGTTGACACATGCCTCAGCTTTTTGGAGCCACCGGATGGGAGTTAGATAAGTGAAGTAGGTTAAATCTATCAGGAGGAGCAGAGTTAATTTCCAGCGTATGGGTGCCATTCCTATCCGCTCCCTCATATATGCTATGCTAGCTTGGGGCTTTTTAGTCTCAGTTTTGCATACTAAACCTGTATAGGAAACTCTGTTATCCTCCTTTGTGGACGGAGTCAAACAGTAAAGGGGTGGAACATTCCGTATCCTAACCGGGTAAGAAGTGGAATTAATTTGAAAGAGGAACCGTTGTTAGGAGAAGAAGCGGATCCACGCAGTTTCTTGGTTGAACTTATCATCTTTGAATCCATCCGTGATGACTGGGATTCGGGTTGTCGATCTGTTGACACGCTATGCTTTTCGTGTTTGTTATTCAAATTGATTAATCGTTCAAAGCAATTCTACAACATGATACGATGACCATTCATTCATTGGATAAACAAAACTTTTAGGGCTAAATTCTCCCGTTTCTTTATTTGCACTTGCTCACGAAATCTGTGCCTATCTGCTAGAAATTTTGTACGCTATTTGCATGGTTACTGGTTCTTGAGAAGAAAAAAATCGAATACAAGTGTACTGTGCTTCGGAGGCTTTTCTGTACGATTGCCCGATATGATCAATCCACCAAATTCCCACAGTGATTCCCGAAACCCGTGATATCTGTTGTTCGATATGGTGCGTATATAGGGAAGCAATACAAGTCAAGTCAAGCAATGGCTTTATACACCTCGAGAGGTGGATATTCAACAACCCCATAACCACAGGGTGTCGAGAAAAAGTGTAAAAACAACAGTATAATACAGCAATTAAAGGACGTGAAACAGGACAGCAACATCCGAAACCAATAGCATACCCGGGTGTTTATGATGAATTTAGTTTAGCGTTAGGCGCAGATTTGCTGCAACGAGTTCATGGTTTGTTAGAAATCTGGCGAGATAAGGGACAATAGACCGGCTGTAAACTTCAATGCGTCTTTATAAGTTTGTCAGTGGAACGGGTGGATGAGTGAGAAAGGCACTGACTAAGGACGGAATAAAGAGCATGGGGAATATCAGATAAAATCTTGTTGGAGAATGTTTACAGCAGTTGATGGGATGTGTCATCACAATGTACCAGATGTTCCCGTGGTATGAGACTACACATTGACAAAAATTTGAGGGATCGGGAAATGAGTTTGAGGTTTTTGTTCAGAAGACCAGCGAAGATAACAGGGAACCCATAGAGCCAGTGAGGTAAAACGCACGCAAAAACAAAACGCTTTATGTGATGGTTTGAAATGGAAAGTGATTTAAGACGTAGAAAATAAAACCTGGGCCTCCATCTGATTACTGAGGA